ACCTGTCCTGTTCCCACTTTTGGATTTTGTCCTGGCAGGCGCTGCTGGCTGGGCTGGGAATACGGGGGGTGGGGCCAGACTCTAGTCACCTCCTCTGAGCTTTCTCTCGGCGAGGCCTCAACCTTGGCCTTTGAAGACATGGACAAGAACAGAGAAGCCCGCATTCCTGGGATGACCCTAGCCCCACCAAGCGCCAGCCAGCACCCGAGGCGGGCCCCGTCTGCCAGCAACCCAAGATGGCCTGGTCACACGCACCGCGACCTCCCACCTTCGGTACATCTCCAACTCCCTGACTCTGCCGGAGCCCCGTTGTCCCTCTCCCTGGTCTCACTCCCACCTCGAAGGCCCAGTCGCCTCTGGACGGGGAGTTCAGCCACGGTGCGCCCCCTTGGCTACTGCCTGGGAAATCTGTCCTCGCTGCTTCAGCCAGAGCCTGGCTCTGGTCCACGGTCTCCCCGGGTAGAGGGGCAGAGCAGGGGGCTGGTGGTGTTAGGAGTCAACTGGGTGCTGAGGGAGTCAGGGTCAGGGTCCCCAACAAGAAAACAGGAAGCTGGGACAGCTTAGACCAGACCACAAGAGCATCCTGTCTAGCAGCCTCTGTGGGAGTGACTTCTGCAAAACATCCCGAAACAAAACAATGAACCATCAAACAATGTTCAGTGTCACAGGTTGAGGCAGTTGAACAATAACCTGCTAGTAGCCAGGGCCGCGATCAAAGCCCTGATGGGCATACCTTAGCGGCCAGTCCCCGGGGGGCCACTCTCAGACTGCTTAGGATGGTTCCTGGAAAGAGCTTCTGAAGACCCCCGAGTGTGAGAACGGCGACCCTCTCGGGTCTCCTCCCCTTCCAGGAGCTTTCAGCGCTCAATAAACCTCGCCCTGCTGCCCGCCACCCTTCGTCTGGTCTACCTCTTCCTGCCTCAAAGCGGCACGACCCAGAACTGCGGACGCTGAGGGAACGAGACCCTATAACAGTGGGAGAGATTCGAGTGCGGGTGACCTTGGGAAGGGCAGGGCTCCTGTCCTGGACCCTCCCAGGCCACTCTCTGTAGACAGGGGACCCCCACAACCCCTGTCTACACTGTGAGCCCCGGTGTCCTGGGTGAGGTGGCAGAGACCTCTCCCAAGGAACGAGGCAGCGGGCCGGGTGCGTGCTGCCCTAGCCCGGGTCCCCCTGGCCCGGCGTTGGCTCCGGCATCTGTTCCTGTCCCTGCCCGCCATGCTCAGCCGTGCCCCGTTCTTTCCGGACTGCCAAGCATCGTGCCCATAGCTCTCTGGCGGAGGATGTGATTCCGGGCTCAGGTCTTGGGGATAATTGAAAAATTCCCGGTTCCAGAGGGCTTTACCAAGCACACGAGGCAGGCACAGGGCAGATGCGTGCGCACAAGGCGAGGGTCACAGACCAGTATTCCCGCTGCGGTGGCAGCTCGGGGAAGCCTGGCCTGAGCTGCAGGTCCGCACAGGGTCTGGACGTGCACTCGAGCCATCCTGGCCCTACAGGCAGGGGAGGGTCTGCCTGCATGGTGCAGGGATGGTGTCAGGCCTGGGGTGACCCTGGTTGATGCAGGACGGGGACCTTTGTTCGGGTGAGCTGTCCCTGCCCAGCCCTCCCCCGTCCCCCAGACGAGCACCCAGTGCCACCCGCCTGATTCAGTTAACAGGACTGGCCGCTTCTTTGCCCAGCATGTGGGGTTAGGGACCTTGCCCACCTCTTGCCTTGGTGTCACTTTTTCCGAAACCTACTTTTTCCCGGACATACGTGTCTTGACCTGTGAAATCTGAGGCCAGGCTCTGCCTCCTTGGCCCTCTTCCTCCCAGCCAGCACCTGCTGGAGAGTGTCCCACATTCAGACATAGCAGCGGAGGGGTGAGTCAACGGCAGGCATTGGTGTGCTGGCCTCCGCTTCCAGGTTCCTGCTTCGGGGCACCATGGAGTCCCCCCAGGAAGGGGCTTGGTGTCTGGGAAGGCAAGGACAGAGTGTTGGATGGGCAGCCAGCCTGGCTTGGCGTCTCCTCTGCGCTCAGGCTCACCCAAGCGGGGAGCCGGTCCCTCTGCCAGGGGCCCCATCCCTTCCTGGCCTCTGGGGAAGTAGGAACTGAAGCAGCGGGTCTGCGTTATGCATGTCAGTGATCTGGGTAAAACCCACACGGGGACCGTCTTCTTCTCTTGTCTAAGGCCAAGAGGGAAGGACACGGTCTTCCGGAAAGCCAGTGAAGGGTGGGGGGCAATGACAGATGAAAGAAGACAGCTACATGCCCGGGAGCCTCTGTCCACCCTGTGCCCCTGGGGGCGGGGAGGGGGCAGCAGCTTTTCCTGTCCCCCCCACCGCCAGGGCCATGCAGGCGGATCCCTCTGTTCTTAGAGAGCGGACTCCGGAGCTGGCCCTGACCTGGGGCTTCCCACGCTCACACTGGGCCGCGGTCGGGTCCAGCGGGGATTCATGCCACCGTGGGCGGGGGGGGGGCATGTCCTGGGGCATTGGCGCCCTGCCCCGGGTCCCTGGCCTCTCTCCCCCGGGCCGAGGGCACGACAGCCGGTCCCCTAGAGATGTGACAGGGGCCCCGTAGCAGGGGGGGCAGGGCTTGTCAGGGGTTAACTGATGCCCCTTCTGCTGGAAGTAAGAGCATTTCGGACCACAGCAAACACTGAGAAGCACTTTCCCGCTAGGATCACACTGGCGTTTGAGGGGCGACAGGGTGACTTTTCTATTTACTCTCCTGCAACAAGCTTGCTTAATTTTGATCAGGCCAGACTCACCGCTTAGGTCCTAATCACTCACCCTCGCAAGGGTGGACCTCGGCTGCCCCAACACCAGCAGTGATGATGGTCTCTTGGCGGTTCCCTGGCGCCCCACTGAGCCCTGCCCCCTGCTTCCCTGACCCCGAGCCCTGCCCCCTGCTTCCCTGACCCCGAGCCCTGCCCCCTGCTTCCCTGACCC